TGTAAGTGAAGAGGAATTGTGGCATCAGCGGTAATTTTCATACGACAGAATACGAATCGTACGCGACAAATCGCAGCATGTAATTAGTAAACGTACCTTTATTCATCAATCATCATCCAACTGTAACTAGGTTTATTGGATAGCTACTTTAGTCTATTAGTAATAATACGCGTCTTACCCCCAGTTCCAGCGGTGTTGAGAAATACTTCGCTTCTGTGACTTCAGACGCAACAAATCCACACTCAATGATCCCAGAATCTCCACGTAAAGCTTTCAACAACTGAAACATCATTAATGATTGTTTAAATTTCAACTAAGGCCTATAGTGGCTTAAGCCCTGGTCAAACAAGAACAAGAGTTGACGAGAGTTGAGAAGCGAGAGTTTTTTCAACTCTCATGTCCCGGTCAAACGAGAACAAGAGTTGCATGAAAGTTGATGAGAGTTGAGAAGCGAGAGTTTTTTCAATTCTCATGTCCCGGTCAAACGAGAACAAGAGTTGCATGGGAGTTGATGAGAGTTGAGAAGCGAGAGTTTGCGTGACAGTTTTCTCAACTTTCATGTCCCGGTCAAACGAGAACAAGAGTTGCATGAGAGTTGATGAAAGTTGAGAAGCGAGAGTTTCAATGACAGTTTCCTTAACTCTTATGTTCCGGTCAAACGAGAACAAAAGTTGCATGAGAGTTGATGAGAGTTGAGAAGCGAGAGTTTGCACGAGAGTTTTTTCAACTCTCATGTCCTGGTCAAACGTGAACAAGAGTTGCATGAGAGTTGAAGAGAGTTGAGTTTTCTCAACTCTCATGTCCCGGTCAAACGAGAACAAGAGTTGCATGAGAGTTGATGAGAGTTGAGAAGCGAGAGTTTGCACGAGAGTTTTTTCAACTCTCATGTCCTGGTCAAACGTGAACAAGAGTTGCATGAGAGTTGAAGAGAGTTGAGTTTTCTCAACTCTCATGTCCCGGTCAAACGAGAACAAGAGTTGCATGAGAGTTGATGAGAGTTGAGAAGCGAGAGTTTGCACGAGAGTTTTTTCAACTCTCATGTCCTGGTCAAACGTGAACAAGAGTTGCATGAGAGTTGAAGAGAGTTGAGTTTTCTCAACTCTCATGTCCCGGTCAAACGAGAACAAGAGTTGCATGAGAGTTGATGAGAGTTGAGAAGCGAGAGTTTGCACGAGAGTTTTTTCAACTCTCATGTCCTGGTCAAACGTGAACAAGAGTTGCATGAGAGTTGAAGAGAGTTGAGTTTTCTCAACTCTCATGTCCCGGTCAAACGAGAACAAGAGTTGCATGAGAGTTGATGAGAGTTGAGAAGCGAGAGTTTGCACGAGAGTTTTTTCAACTCTCATGTCCTGGTCAAACGTGAACAAGAGTTGCATGAGAGTTGAAGAGAGTTGAGTTTTCTCAACTCTCATGTCCCGGTCAAACGAGAACAAGAGTTGCATGAGAGTTGATGAGAGTTGAGAAGCGAGAGTTTGCACGAGAGTTTTTTCAACTCTCATGTCCTGGTCAAACGTGAACAAGAGTTGCATGAGAGTTGATGAGAGTTGAGAAGCGAGAGTTTGCATGAGAGTTTTCTGGACAAACCAAAAGACCTTTTCGAAATCATGATCGAATGCCCACAGATAATAGCCTTAGAACGAGGCAAAGTTGTAATGTTTCTATAGTGAATTTAGAAACGAAGCCTGAACTTGATGGTACTGTTCTTCAGGACTAGTCAACTAGACCGCAATTTGTAAATGGCTTATTTTTCTTACCGAAAACACGAATCTTGCTCCAGCATAGGCCATGGATAAGGTTGCAGAACCCTGGAAATTAAAACAGCGTCAGAGAATAATCCTGGATAGAAAAAATAAACAATTTCCATGCTTCTAAACCGTTAGCCAAACTTACGGCTCCAGCTTTTGCATTCACAACCTCTGTGCCTGCGTTCTGAATCCTGTCTGTTAAACTGTCAATCTCAGCTTGAGTGAAAGACGTTTTTGGTTGCGTCTAAAATGAAACAATATTTAACCAACAGGCATTTCCAGTTATACTTATAGACTAAATTTTGATCTAGGCAAGAAGAACAAAATCCATCACCACAGCTATAGAAAGAGCATGTGAAAAATAGTAAAATTGCAAAGTTTGGTTGCAAAATGTTGTAAAATGAGGAAAATATAGCCCCCTGTGAAGTACGCAAATTTTGTATAGATTTGTATTAC